AGGCCGCCGAAGGCCTGCGAGAACACAGGGCTGAGCAGGCATTTCCTCCAACCCTACCGTCGTCTTCTGACCTGGGGCCCCTGGGAGCCGGGCATCCTGAGGAAGCACTGCCTGGCAGGTCCTGTTTGCCCTGCTGGAGCCCGGAGGAGGGTTGGGAGGAAGGGAGGGTTTCTAAGTGAGTGGCAGTGTAGGGAGGCCCCTGTGGGCACAATGGGGCCCACAGAGGAGGCTGAGCTGCGTGGTGTCTCAGGAGCTTTTCCAGGGCACGGGACTGTGTTTCTGAAGAGAAGGAAGGGTCAGGTCCTGGGAGCAGGGGGCCTCCCCCAGGAGAAAGGAATACGAGTTGTTTCTGGTCCTGACAGAGGGCCAGGCCAGGGGTCCTTGGTTTGGGGTTGGGGGGCGGCCAGCAGGGTAGGACGCTGACCGAGCTGGCCTGGGGTCAGATGTCCTGCAATCATGAGAACAGCATCAGGCCCGTTCCAATCGAGAGAACCTGCAGAAACCTGACCGGTCCTCCTTACCAGGTTGCGGGAGGCGGTGCCTGTCTCCATCCCTCAGAGGCCCACCGAGGCAGGGCACACAGCTGTGCATGTCAGGATGGGGGTGCCATGGTAAAGTGGGGATCAGGCACTGTCTGAAGATGCTGCCACAGTCAAGTTCCTGTGTGGGTGCCCAGAATGGCCAGATTGTCTGAAATTTTTTCAAGAGCAAAATCCGCATTTTTAGGTGAAAACTCATTTTGAAATGGCAGCAACTAATCAAAAAGACCTCTAAGCCAATCTGCAGGCCACCAAACAAGCCAGGCCTCTGGGGGTGAGGCCAATTGGTTTGGTTTTTTTTGTAAAAAAAATGTGGTAAAATACTCATAATATACTATTGATCGTCTTAACCATTTGTAAGGATCTAATGCAGCGGCATTAAGTACACTCACAGTTGTGTAACCATCACCACTATCTGTGTTCGGAATGTTTTCATCTTTGAAACAGAAGCTCTGTACCCATTAGACCCTAACTCCCCTCGCTCCTCCCTCAAGGCCCTGGTAACCTTACCCTTCTTCCTGTGTCTGAATTGGCCCATTCTGGGCACCTTGTGTAGGACAAAACATACAGTATTTGTCCTTTGTGTCTGGCTTATTTCACTTAACATAATGTTTCAGGGTCTATCCATGTTGTAGCCTGTGTCAGAATTTCCTTCCCTTTTAAGGCTGAATAATATTCCTTTGTGTGTCTAGACCACATTTTGTTTATCCATTCATCTGCCGATGGGCGCTTGGCCCACTTCCACCCAGTGGCCCTCTGCTTTCTTTGAAGGAGTACTCTCCTGCCCCGGCCACCACTTAGATTGGGACTATATCTGATTTCAGGGATTTTCATTCTAATCGTGTTGACAAATGGTTGAGCACCAGGGTATGCAAGGAGGTAGACAGCCTCTGAGAATGTCCTAGACAACGGAGAGACAGTGAGAGCCGTGGTGGGGTACCCAGGGTGCTATGCGAGCCCTGAGGGGACAGACTTGGTCTAACTGGAGACCACAGCTGAGCCTTGAAGGACGAGCCACCTGGAACGCCTGCCCGCCTCCCTCATGAACTTGGCAGAGGAGCTGCACGGCCTAGGAACCTGAAACCACACCATGTTGGTGGGATAAGGCGTGCTGGCTGTAAAGCCAGGTGCCTGGGCTCAGATTGAGCTTCCTTCCCCATTAGCGGTGTGTCCTGGGGCCAGTGCCTTTGCCTCTCTGTGCCTGAACATCCTCACCTGTCAGGTGGTGGTGATGTTCCGACCTGTGACCTAGGGTTGGCGTCTAGATTAAACAGGTCCGTACCTGCGAGGTGCTTCGAGTCCTGCTTCACACATAGTGAGCGCTCGTAGGCGAGAGCTGTCATTTTTACTGGCAGAGGTGAGGATGGTGCCTGGAAGGGCTGGAACAGAGGCAGCAGCCAGGCTGTGCAGGGCCTTCAAGGCCACTGTGGAGCTTGGTGGTATCTGGAGGCTGGGGAACAGGGAAGGGCTTGAGGAGATGTGCATGAACCTTCGTGATGGCCGTGACCCTAGAAAGACCCTGCATATGTGGGACCTTACTCCAGCTTCCCAGGAAGCCGCTCATCGTCTTTCTGCTAAATAACCTTGAGATTCTCTATCTCCTTATTGGGCTGTGCCAGGTCTTCCTTAAGGACTGTGACAACCGTCCACAGCATGCCTGTGTACAGCCCCCGCTCCTTCTCTGGGCCTCAGTTTCCCCATCTGGCGGTGTTGGGCTGGCTCTTTTCTATTCTCTCCAACAGCTGGGCGCTGGAATTTGGGTTGTTGATGGGTGGAGTTTTGCTTATATAGGCGCAGAGACGGAGAAAAGGGCAACGTTTAGGGAGAAGGGTTTCCTCCCATTTCTCTTGGTCCCTAGACCATGAGAACTCGGCTCTTGGTGACACCCTTGTCATCACACCGTTGTTTTGATTTTCTGTGCTTCGTCTCCCATTATCGGCATGAGTCAAGGCAGAGAGCTGGGGGTGGGGCTTTATGGCCCCAGCTTCATGCTCCCCGATCACCTTTCCGGGTGCTTCTCCCTTTCCTCCGAGGTCTGAGACTTCTGCAAGCAGTCCTTCCTTTGCAGAGCAGGTCAGACTCAGGACAATGGGCCAACCGAAGGGGCTGTGGTGCCAACGGTGGGGAACTCGATGCAGCCAAGGAGAGGTTGAGGAGGAGGCAGGACCGCAGACACAGCACGGCGCTCATTTCCTCTGCCCCTTTCCTACGTCATCTTCCGACCTAGAGCTCACACGGCCCTGAGTGGATGCGTGCGCGCTCTGACAGGGACCCAGCCCCAGCTGGTGCAGCCGCCTGGGGGGCACACGTGTCTCTGCTGGGTAACCTTTGGCCTGTTTTTGACAAAGGAATAAGGATTTTCTCTGACATAGAAAGTACCATGTTTATGACTTCAAATTCCTTGATATCCATCCATCTATCTGTATCTATCTATCATCTATCTATCTATCTATCTATCTATCTATCTATCTATCTATCTATCTATCATCTATCTCTATCTATCTATCTATCATCTATCATCTATCTATCTATATCTATCAATCTATCTATTTCTATCTATATCTATCTATCATCTATCTATCTATCTATCTATCTATCTATTTCTATCTATCATCTATCTATCATCTATCTATCATCTATCTATCTTTTCTTGCTTCTTTCTAAGCAGTGACTGAAGTTACCTTCTGGCTTTTTCTTGGCCCCATCACAGGCTTTGGAACTGCTGACACTTTTGTTACTCAGACATGAGACGTTTACTAGGCACCTACAGTTCATTGGGCATTGGGGAGATGGTGATGATATAACTTGGTCCCTCCCACAGGGCTCTTACACACCAGTGAAAGCCAGTGCTTTAATCACCCTTTCCTTCTCCCATTTGACAAAACCCACAGTTTCCTCAGTCATTTCAGGAATTGCACCTAATAGAACTGTCAGGCCAAGACTCACAGACTGACTTGGGACAGAAGCTCTAGCTGGTCTTTGCTTGTTCCTTGTTAAGATCATCTAGATTGCATCAGCTTTGGTAGCACTCACAGACTTTTTATTAGTTACTATTTTGGGGAATATGTCCTATACTACTAAGTCCAGATAAGACACTGACACCAGATTTCGTTGGTTGACCCTTAAGAGCCAAGACTATATTGGTTCAAAGCTAACCTATCACAGATGCTAATAGCTGTGCTTTATAAAGGGGGTCTAGGGAGGGAACTTGAGGGTATAATGCTAAATGAAATAAGTCAGAAAGAAAAAGACAAAAACCATTTTGGAATCTTAAAAAAAACCCAAAAAACCCAAATGAACAAGCAAAACAAAACAAAAACAAACTCATAGATACAGAGAACAGATTGGTGGTTAACCGAGGGGAAGGGGGTTGGGAGGTGGGTGAAAGTGGGGGAGGGGCAATTGTATGGTGATGGATGGTAACTAGACTTTTGGGGTGACCACTCTGTAGTATATGCAGATGTTGAATTATAATGTTGTACACCTGAAACTTATATAATTTTGTAAGGGGGGAGGGTGTTTTCACCAAATGTTGGGACATGGTACATACCCCAGCCCACCTTGGAGAATTAAGCTTCACATGAGTAGGTTAAAGGCTCTGAGAAGTCCTGCAACAAAGAAACCCATTTGACTTTGACTTGGCATTTTCCAAATGCTTATTAGCTTGTAGAATTTGTTTTTCATTCTCGTAAACCCATTTAATAATCTTCAGAGCCAGTGTTCCACAAAAAACCCTGGAAACACGGGTGGAAATGGTTTATTTGAGCTGAAAACTGCCCAACTGCCAATGTAGGTGGTCAGCAAAAGAAATCTATTATTTGCAAATGCAGAGTTTTATTTGGCCTGGCTTGTTGGCCCCGAACTGGGGAGCTAGTGCTGTGCTCCAAGGAAGGAGAGTTTACTATTGAGCAAAACCTCTCATCGACTGTTGCAATGAGCTGTGTGAAATCCAGCCTGTCTGTTGACTGAAAAGTGGAGGGCGGGATCCTATGTTTCCATTCTCTCCTGTGACTCATAAGCCAGGACATCTTAGGACAGACTGTGTGAGCCACCTGTCTTCTCAGACAACCAAGAAGGCATTTTGGAAATAGTCTTTGGTGGAACAAAGCATATAGTAAAGTATAATGTATTACAATACTTTTATTTTGAAAGAACGAAAGATATATAGGCATTCAGATGTAGAGAAAAATAATGGTGATGGAATGATGGGCATTTTCCCCCCTTATTTTCTCTTGTCGCTAAGTTTTCTGTTGTCACCATGCATTTCCTTTGCAAAAAGAAATATACATATATGAAAATAAAATACATATGTGCACATATATACATATGTAACACAAACATACGTGTACACTGTACTGAAATGTCATAGAAAAACCAAGATAAATAGAAGTTGGTGAGTTTTGGACTTAAGTCTTTGGTTTCTATTAGTTCCTTCAAAGTCTATCATTTTTAATTTTTCAGATGGGCAGCAGATTTGGGAGATGGAGGCCACAGTGGATAAAGACAAGAGCCAACCTGTAAGCACCCGGACCAGGCGGCCTAGTGCCCCGACATGTTTCCTGCCACCTCCCCCCTGCTCTCTCTCCTTTTCTCCTTTTCTTCTCCAAAGTCCCAGGGCTTTGGACCAACAGGCCCTCAGTAGGTATTGAAGTGATAAATGAATTAAACATTCCATGAGCACCAGGCCCTCTGATTTGTAATGGTGACATCTTAATATACTTTGATAGAGTAAGTGGCAGTCCTTTCTTTGCCGTGGCTGAAAAGTCAAATTCCCTTTAAGTGGAATTTCACCTGTAAACGTACAGAACAGGTCACAGCTCCGTGTAGACGGGCTGGCTTCACGAGCCTGGGGCCTTGGAGGGGAATTTATATATCGTTGCGGGGACATTAATAACAACTCCTTCCTTCCAGAACATGCTTTTCGTTGAGATCCCCGAGTACCGGAACAAGCACATTCGCACGTCGGTGAAGGTGAACTTTTACGTCATTAATGGGAAAAGAAAACGAAGTCAGCCTCAGCACTTTACCTACCACCCAGGTAAGGAGCTCTCCCTGAAGGCCCTGTGGTGGGAGAGGCAGCAGGAGCATGTGGGTGAGGACACGTGACGTCTGCTGCCAGCTGGGCGACCTTGGGCCGGTGACTCAACCAGCCCAGTTTCCTCATCTAGCAAATGGTACCTTCCTTATGAGAGCCACAGAAATCAAATGTTCCCAAAGAGCTTAGCACAGTAAACTTATACCGGTGATATGCGCTGTTATTGTTACTGATGTTTTCCCTTGGGAGGGTGGAACAGGGGAGAGGCTGTGTGGATTTGTTCAGCACAAGGCTGCAAAGCTGGTCACTCCTGTCACTATCTTAGATTTGATCATGATAGTGGCAGAGTGGCAGAGGTGCCCTAAAACCTGTGGCATCTTTAGTTGACCCCACTGTGAGTAGTTACCCTGTGGCCAGGTGGAGTTCCTGGGTGGATAACTGGGCCAGGAGGTCCATTCCCACAAAGTACTGCAGTCCCAGGAAGGGTGACAAGTGCCATTTTTCATTCATTCATTTGTTCAGAAAATATCTGAGTGCCAGGTACTGGTCTGAGCTTGAGACACAGCAATGAACAAAACAGGTAAAAAGCCCCGCCCTCGAGGAGCTGATGCCCTAAGAGAGGGGGCTCACATAATAAGTGGTATTGATATTGCTGATATGTCTGACTGGGATAATAGGGGCTGCAGAAGCAGGCCCCCAGCTTGCCAAGGCTCGAGGCAGGCCCACCAGCCACCTCTCCAGGACTGGAAACCTATCATCTGAGACTATCACCCGGGGTGCAATTTCTGTCCTAAGACAGTTTCACAGGGAGTCTCTGGGCTGCATGAACCTGAGAGGCAATCCTGAGAGTCTGGCCTTGGGGTGTTCTGCTTTGGGGGGTATGTCCACAGGTCTTTGTGGCCCCAGCCCAGGACCGACGTGCCATGCCATGAGCGGCAATGTCCTAATGGGACCTAGAACTGTGGAGACCATCTGTGGGAGGGCAGTAGGCTGCTTCGCCATGATCCTTGCTGATGTAGAGGTTTGCAGTTATGTTTCAGGATGTTCTTACCTCTCGTGTGGTAGTGAGGCCTCCTTGGGCCTGGTTGGCACGCACTTGTCTGAACGTGACCGAAGCAGGACTCGGTCCCCCAGTCGGGCCAGGATTGGGAGGAGGGTCTTTGAATGGCATCTTGAGAAATAGTTTCTCTGGTTGGTGTCAAAGCTGTGTATTTGCTTTAAGCGCTGGACCTCCTTGCCTCCTCCAACCCCCAACACGTGATTACTGCCCTGTCACCAATTCATATACTCCAGTGAAAAGAAAGCTGATTCCTCAGGAGAAATTCTGGTGACTCTCTTAGGTGGGGAGAGAGGAACAGTAACCACAATACCACTAATAGTAGTAGTAGTACTAGTAATAATAATAATAATAATATAGCAACAAGAGAGGCATTGAGCACTTACTGTAGGCCAGTTACTGTTGTACTTTGCACACACGGCTCACTTAATCCTCTCTCAACAACCCCACAGGGTAAGTGTGCTAATTACTGCCAAGTAACAGATGGGGAAACTGAGGCCCAAGACAGCAGGTCTCATTCCCCCAAAGTACTGTAGAACTAAGGAGGGTGACAGTCACCATTTGGCCATTTCTTGTCCAGAAGATATCTGAGTGTCAATTAAATTCCAGACACTGTTTCAGGTGCTAGGGACCCAGCATTGAACAAAACAGACAAAAAAACAAAAGCAAACTGAAAACCCTCCCTTTGAGGAACTGACATTTTAGTGGGAGGTGTTCAGATAAATAAGCATGTAAAATATACAGAGTATTTCAGGTGGTGATATGTATTATGAAGGGCAACAAGCAGGGAAGGGGGACAGGCACTAGTAGGGCAAAGGGAGGAGGGAGAGGCGTGGTTTTAAAAAAACATTCTTCTCTGAGCTCTTCTCCTGGGGAAAGAGGCTGCAAGTGTCCCAGGGCTGAGACAGACCTGCTGTCCACAGACCACCTTTCCGCTATTAGAAAGACCTGTAGTTCCAAATCATTGCCCAGGGTTAGGTTTTTGACCTAAGACCATTGCGCAAGGCTAACAAACGACAGAGCCTGACTGTTTGATCCACCTGTCCTGACTCCCAAGGCCATGTTCCCAATGGCTAACCCTCTGCACATCTGCAGCTCACTAAGAACGGTGCATCCCGTGTGCTTTTCTCGCAGTCCCAGCCATCAAGACAGAGCCCACGGATGAATATGACCCCACCTTGATCTGCAGTCCCGCCCATGGGGGCCTGGGGAGCCAGCCTTACTACCCACAGCACCCCAGGGTGGCCGAGTCCCCCTCCTGCCTCGTGGCCACCATGGCTCCCTGCCAGCAATTCCGCTCAGGGCTCTCGTCCCCCGATGCCCGCTACCAGCAGCAGAACCCAGCGGCTGTCCTGTACCAACGGAGCAAGAGCCTGAGCCCCAGCCTGCTGGGCTACCAGCAGCCGGCCCTCATGGCCGCCCCCCTGTCCCTCGCCGAGGCCCACCGCTCTGTGCTGGTGCATGCCGGCTCCCAGGGCCAAAGCTCAGCCCTGCTCCACTCCTCTCCTGCCAGTCAGCAGGCCTCGCCCGTGATCCACTACTCGCCTACCAACCAGCAGCTGCGCTGCGGGAGCCACCAGGAGTTCCAGCACATCATGTACTGCGAGAACTTCGCGCCGGGCGCCACCAGGCCTGGCCCGCCCCCCGTCAGTCAAGGTCAGCGGCTGAGCCCGGGGTCCTACCCCACGGTCATTCAGCAGCAGAATGCCACAAGCCAAAGAGCCGCCAAAAACGGACCCCCGGCCAGTGACCAAAAGGAAGTATTACCCGCAGGAGTGACAATTAAACAGGAGCAGAACTTGGATCAGACCTACTTGGATGACGGTAAGAGGCTCGTTTTTCTGATTGTCCCTAAGGACGGTGCCCAAAGCGTCCCCTATTCACTGTATGGCCTGGGGATCTTCCTTTACCCCTTTGGGCCTCAGTGTCCCTTCTGTAATTTCCGGGATTGAATAAGATGCCCCTTAAGGCCTCACCCAAGTCTGTGCATGAATCGTTTCCCAGCAGGACTTTTGGGGTGGGTGGTAGGAGTTTTCGATGCCCCCCTATAACCATCATAAGAGAAAGAGCAAATGTTCTGGCCACAGGATTATCCCGGGGTCATGAACTGGGTCAGTTTAACTGCTTCCACTAGCTTTCCATTTGCCAAATTTAGACCAAGGATAGGAAAACAGAAAGGAAGGAAAACTAACCTTTTATTTCTGTAGAGAGAGGAAAAAGAAACCCACTTTATAGCCCTCTTTTGTGTATTTAGGGGGTAGAGAAAAGGGAAGGAGAGGTTCACTGAAAAGTGGCTCTGTGAGAGGGGAGCATGAATGGGGCTTGCAGGCAGGCTGCGGGCATCTCTCTGCCATGTGCTGGTGGAACAGAGAAGCACATTGATGGGAGGGGAACAGTGGGCTTCCGTTGTGGTTGGGCCAAGGACAAGTGCAGAGGCGGCTTTGTGTGAGGCTGTAGGTGCCGGGTGTATTGGCGGGGGCCCGGCTGGAGGGTAGTCTAGTTGGAGCGGCTGTGTATGTGACGTTGGTCTTTGACACTCACCTGGGATCGGTCGGGTGCCGCCGAAGGATGGAGAGGGTGGGGCAGGCAGAGCGGCCTTCCCCTGGGGGCTCCAGAAACAGGGAAACAGGTGGTTGGGGTTTATGAACAGGAACAGGAAAAGCTACACCGCTGGCTGCCATCCACAGCTCCAGCCTCACGCTTCAGGGACAGTAGCATCTGATACGCCCTGAGACCTCAATAATTTAGGAAAATTTACTCTCAGGAACCCAGCCAAGGAGTACGGAGTAAGGCAGAAAGCTTCAAAATGGCCAGAAGAGATACAGAGACCAGGTACGAGGTATCAGACACTTGAGTGGCAGGAATTTTTTGGTGCTTACTCAAAAAGACTTACTTTATGCAAAGTTTTAATGATATGAGTTGTCTGGGGATATTGTGACTTCTAGCAGTTTCCGTGTCTTCTCTCTAGTAAAACTATCTATCAAAAACTTCCCCCAGATGCATCCAGCAAAGATCTCGAGGGCCACTTAGTATAGGGTCAGACCGCCCCATGTGCCTCCCAAGGTCGACCCCAGGGTTTCGCTGCATTAATAATTGATCCGCCTAATCCCGAGTAATCAGGCACAGGTGGTCAGGGTCACCGGGCTCGGCCTTGAAAGGCAGATCCAGGTGCCACCCACTCTTGAACAGTTTACACCCAAAATGGTTAAGATAAATGTCTGATGCCTGTTTTAAAGGAGACCATCACGTAGAGAGTTAAACTGATACGCGTGCCTGTTGCGATCGGATAAATGAAATGTGGCTGTAACCGGACCTCTCCCCACGTGCGGGCGGGGGCATGTATCAGGGCTGAGGTGCTTTATAAATAAATGAGTGCCTGAGCCGGGCAGGTAACTTTCCCCTGCTGACTCTGTGTCCGGTGTTGGTTCGGTGTCCAGAGCGAGAGACGTGCCCGCCCTGCCACCCTGTCCCTCTTCCCACAGTAAAGACAGCGAGCAGCTTGGGGAGGGCGCAGGAGGCGGTCAGTCTGCCCTGGCTGTCCGTGACGCACCAGTATCCACGGGCCTGAGGTGGTCAGGAGTCACCTTTGCGTGTCCATCCTGGCCCCAGACCACAGAGGTGCTTTCCATTTCCACAGAAGCCTGTGTTGTAGAGAAAGCAGCTGAGAAGGGAGAACTTCGAAGGCCTCCTAAGTGTCTTTCTGAACAAAGGCAGCTTCAAAGTCATGGTGAGAGGGAGCTCCCGGCAGGTCAAGAGCACGCGTGGGCCTTAAGTATGTCTCAGAGAGCGGAGTGTAGTGAAATCGCTTCCCCCAGTGGAGCCTTTTCTTAAGCACGTTCTGCACAAGCCCAGTTGTCTGAAGTGAGGGTTCCATGGCGTGTTTAAGTTTAAATTTTACTTTTTAGTTCCAGTTGGTACTTGGTATTATTTTGTATTAGTTTCAGGTGTACAACATAGTGGTTAGACAATCATATACTTTACAAAGTGATCTCCCCAATATTTTACCAAGCACCATACACAGTTATTACAATATTATTGACTATATCCCCTATGCTATATTTAAAACTCTGAAAAAACTCATTTATACCAAGTTTTAAAAATACCTCATGTACTGCGGGACTTCTCAGGACCTTTACTATACTAGTGGACATTGTAAATCTCCAAAATAAGGGGACGTGACACTTTCCAAAATGAGTTCATCACAGGTAAGAGAGTGCACGACTCCAGGGGTCCTACTCACATGGTGTTGTACCCCGCATAGTGGGAGCCCTGGAGCTGTGCACCACTGGGGCCTGGAACACCCCTCCCCCAACATCTGGGAGACAGACTGTGAAGGAATGTCAGAGTCTGACACCCAGAACTGCCCCATCCCATATGTCATATGCAGGCTCCTCAGTTCTTGGGCTTCATGCTAAATCCTGGGGCCCCCAAGGGGCAGCAGTGTGGCTGCTGGTTAGATGGCCAGCATTGTCCCCAAGGCTCTGCCCAACGCAAGACCCTACACTATGGGCGTTCCCATATGGCTGGTCGTGCCCAGTGGTAAGTGCCCAGCCGCACCACCCAGTAGCCACCAGGAAGAGGTGGGTGCAGTCTTGTCTCCTAACTGCTGGAATTTCAGGCCCCTCTAACAGGCCTGGCAGCCCTGGGATAGTCTCCGATTCCACTGTAGGCTTTATGGGTGGGGACTCCGACTGCTCAGTTTGTTTAGTGTGTATTGCTGACAGGTAAACTGTAAATTCGTGGGTCATTTCTCTAGCCTGGTTGGGAGACATCCTAGGTTTTTCAGATCCTTTTCTGTCCCTGTCATGATTACTCCAAAGGCGGTCTCCCCCAAAGATACGTATTTGGCTGCGCCAGCTCCAGCACAGCATACTTCTAGCTTGTCAGTATTTCTCAGGTGCCATTCATTTGCCTTAGGATTTTGGCAAAGTAGACTTTCCTTGGAAACTTTGTGAGAGCTGGGACTAGTGTTTCGAGGGCCCAGGGAGAGTTCCACAGATGGGAAAGGAAGGGTCACCAGCAGACGCAGCCCAAATGCAAACAGGTGTCTTAGAAGTTGACCATGAAGCTCGGCTGTGGTCCCGGGAAGCCCCGGTGTTTGGTTATCTTTTCCTGGCCCTTTGCTAACGGCCCAGTGTCTTGTCTGGGGGTCCCACCTGGCTGCACTCTGTTCCGTCTGCTTTTCATCTCTCTCTCCTCTCCCCAAACTGCATTCCTGCGCACAGACGCTGTCTGTCTGGGCTCCGTTTTCCCTTGGAACTCTAAAATGCAACTTCTGCTTTCTCCACGCCAAGGGCTGGAGACATTTTCAAAAAGTCTTCTTTTTGAACTAGTAAAATAAGTGATATTCCAGGGCAGCGTGCACCCTCACTCCCGCATCCTGTGCTCCTCCGCCCACCCCAAATCAGGCACTTTTTCTTGGTTCTGAAATGTATGCTTTGTGCACACACTCACTCGGCTTTCTTCTGCTCCCTTGTCCCCTTCTGTCACTAATGCTTTCTAAATTTAGCTGCTGGTTACACCTGGGAAACACCAAGGGCTCCTAGCAGTCCCATGGTTCTGTAAATGGATTCTCCCCTTCTCCCTTCCTCCCTGCACTCCTCTCTCCTCCACCCCTCCCTGTCCTTAGTCCTGCCCACCCCGCCTCTCACCCGCAGGTATTTATTCACTGGCTGCCTTCTGTGCCCAGCACTGTTCTGGGATCAGGGTCACAGCAGTGCACCAGTCAAGCGAAATCCTTGCTCTCCTGGGGTATTTTTTGTAGAGCGAGACAGTATGGAAGGTGATGAGCGTGTTTCAGATGGAATGGAAGCAAGGAGGGCAGTTACGCGAGGCTAGGAGCTGGAGCGTGGCGGACAGAGTGGTGTTGGCCCCCGCAGGCCAAGTGCACAGCAAGGCCGCTCTGAGGTGGTGTGCTTGGGGAAGATCTGAGGGAAGGGTGTTTTAGGGACAGGGAACAGCAGCCCCATGTGAAGGCTAGGAGGCCAGAGGAGAGGGCTAGCATTGGCGGATTTTTGGCTGCAGCCCTGTGTGATTTGATTTACCCTTTGAAAAGATCGCTCTGGCTGCGTTTGGAAAATGGACTATAGGGAGGCAAGAGTTGGAAAAGAAGGAGTTGACCTCTTTTTAGACCAAGTCAGGTCTGAAGTGTGTGAGTCCTGCTGCAGGAATGTGCTAGAGGGTTAGTACATTTTATAAGGTACACCCTTTCACTAGCACGGTGATTTCAAATGTGGCTGCAGTTGCCACAGTGGGGTCCACCCACAGGTAGTTAGTTCTTGTCACTTCTGTTGCCTGGAATGAAGGGCAACTATGCCTTTGATGGCCCGGGGTGCCTTGATCGAGCAGGTAGGAGTGTTTGTGCTGTGCAGGGCCCAGGCCAGCGGGAGAGGTGCTGAGGAGCAGGGGACCCAGGTGGGTGTCGGTGTCAGTGCACATGCCCACGCCAGGGCATGGGAGTCATGCAAAGTAGTTTTAAGTGTAGTTCATTTCATATCTTCTGACCTTGGGACCTGCCCTCGTGTCTAAGAAATGTGCCTAGTTACGGGGCATCCTGGCAGCAGACCCAGGGAGCAGCAAGCTGTTTGGGTATGAGCTGCTCTGATCCCTGCCTGGGCCACCTACCTGAACTCTCTAGGCCCCTGTCTTCTCCCCACTGAAAACTATACCTCCCGTTCAGACACTCAAACTGCTGAAGATGTATTAAGAGCTGAACTTGGAGATGCCAGCCAAGGACATAAGGCTCCTCAGAGATGTTCCACAATTAATACTTGCTCCATTGGTAATAACCATGATGACCATAAGACCCTACTTCCCTTCAAGTT